ACACATATAGATATATATGCATGTATGTTTATGTTTTGGTTTATATGTATGTGAATATATACATATGAGCATACTTGTATATATGTACACATATGTATGTATACGGACTGGGCCGCAGCTCAGTGGAGGAACTCCTTGAAACGCTTGTTCGACAGTTTGATGCAGTCGAACCTCCATCGTGTCGTTTGCGGCCTGGACCTCGACCGTCAGCCTCTCGTGCGTCGCCGTGTCTTTGCAAGCAGACTCGTTTTTTTTTTTTTTTTTTTTTTTTTTTCAATCTTCGCGATGAGAGCCTCCATGTTCATCTCGTGCTTGTCCGAATTGCCCGCGCGCGTCTTGCATTCTCCAGGCCAGTTTTTGAAGCTCTCACGGTCTGTCTGATCCTCATACCCTGCCTTCGCGATCGATTCATTCTTCGTGTGCTTCATGCTCTTCAGCTCCCTTTGGCACTTGGCCAGCGCCTGCCTCGGTGGAGCACGTAGACAAAACAGTGCGCCGAAGTGATTGGAGCAGGAACGATGCACAGCAAAAGCTAAGACGAACACGCTTCGCTCGCTATCCTCATCCAGGCGGGGCGGCGCTGGCGAGGCGGGGGGGCGGGGGGCAGGCGGAAGGCCATTCAACGGGAGGCGTCTGGCAGAAAAGCCGAGAAGGAGGGGCAAAGAGCGGCTGCCGAGGGCGGCGCGCGGTGCCGCCCTGGCAAATCACGATCGCGGGCCAGCGCGGGTTCTCGATGTTCACCGTGGCGCCCTCAGCGCCAGCGGGTCCCGTTAGAGGTTGACGGCGGCGGCGCGGCCATCAGCTCCTTTTTGCTTCGAGATGCTTCGTGTTCTTGAGAGTGGATTTCTCGGAGAAGCTGCGCGAAGCTATCGCTGCGAGCTCGTCATCGCCCACGTTGCGCACCACAAAATACCATTGCTTCCACAAGGGCCCCTTCTTTGGATTGTCTCGGATGGGAAAATCTTCAGTGGTGCCATGCCCCGCGTTGTTCTCCTCCTGCCAATCCTGCGCGAAGTCCATGGCCGCCTCGATGCCCTCAAAGTTCTTGATGGTGAGGTCCTTCAGGGCCAGCGCCTGCGATACATTCCAACGCACTATTTTGCCAGAGCGCTTGTGCATCTCCTCATTCGTGCACGTCTTTTCGAAATTGGTCACCCACTCAAGCGTCTTCTCCTTGTCATTCGGGAAGCTTTGCAAAAAGGGGGGGTATATGTGAGCAGACGCTCATAGAGCCCGCAGCAAGAGGCGCATCCCACGCGCAGGAGGCCACTCCACATGCCCAGCAGGAACCACAACTTCAATCTTGCGAACCACAACCTCACGAGCGTCGCTTTTTTCGACCCGACTTTTCCGATCCGATGTCCATGTCGGTTTACCGGATCCGATTCCGATGCTCGGATGATCCAGTGTGTCCCGATGCACGCGTGGCGTTGCGCAGCCCGGCGCGCCCGATGCGATTCGATGGCGGCACCGTGCCGATGCGGCCCGATTCGATGCATGCCCCAATGCAATCCGATTTCGCGATTCGATGCTGGCTGCTCATCGGGCGAGCGGCGGACACCACGGAGGTTCGGAGAGCAATGCACGGCAAATGCGTAAATGCTGGCAGGTCCGCGCGGACCTCCGGACGTTTCGTTTTGAACAGTTGATCAGCGCAAGAGCACGGTGTCGTTTGCGCCGACATTGGCGCGTAAGGTGCCTTCGTACCGTCGCGCGTATGTGCCCTCGTTTCCAATGTAGCGTGCCACGCTGGGGGCCCACGTAAGCCACCGCGCAAGGGCACGATGCCATCTCTCGTAAAACCTTTTGACGTTTATGTAAGAGCAGCTGTTCGAATTAGCCTGGCGAACGACCCAACCATACGCAGTTGTGACTACCGCAATTGTGAATAACATTTACGCCCGCGCTCCCGATGTGGCCACGACTTCCCGCCGGAGCCCGACATGCTCAGGGGCGCGTTCGTGGCCGTCTTCGCGGGCGCCGACGACGACGAGGACGGCGTCCCCCTGACCGAGGAGCAGAAGCAGGAAAGGGCTCTGAGAGCCATGAGGGAGGCTGCCGCTGGGGCCTGCGGTGGAGCTCCCCATGCGGCCACGATCCTCGTGAGGGGTGTACCGAAATGGCCTGAGGCAGCCGTGCGAAGCCTGCCACTGGGGCCTTCGGTGGAGCTCCTATGGGGGCCACGATCTTCATGAGGGGTGCGCCGACATGGCCCGAGCCGCCATGCGAACGCTGCCACTGGCGCCTTCGGCGGAGCTCCCTATTGGGCCACGATCCCCGTGAAAATTGTGCCGAAATGGCCCGAGGCCGCCATGCGAACCCTGCCACTGGCGCCTTCGGTGGAGGCCACGATCCTGGCGAGGGGTGTGCCGAATTGGCCAGAGGCGGCCGTGCGAACGCTGCCACTGGGGCCTTCGGTGGAGCTCCCTATGGGGCCACGATCCTCGTGGGGGGTGTGCCGAAATGGGGCGGGGCCGCCATGCGAACGCTGCCACTGGGGCTTTCGGTGGAACTCCCTATGGGGCCACGATCCTCGTGAGGGGTGTGCCGAAATGGGGCGGGGCCGCCATGCGAGCGCTGCCACTGGGGCCTTCGGTGGAGCTCCCTATGGGGCCACGATCCTCGTGAGGGGTGTGCCGAAATGGCTTGGGGCCGCCATGCGAACGCTACCGCAGGGGCCTTCGGTGGAGCTCCTTATGGGGCCACGTCATGGTGAGGGGTGTGCCGAAATGGGGCGGGGCCGCCATGCGAACGCTGCCACTGGGGCCTTCGGTGGAGCTCCCTATGGGGCCACGATCCTCGTGAGGGGTGCGCCGAATAGCTTGGGGCCGCCATGCGAACGCTACCATTGGGGCCTTCGGTGGAGCTCCCTATGGGGCCGCGGTCCTCGTGAGGGGTGTGCCGAAATGGGGCGGGGCCGACATGCGATCGCTGCCACTGGGGCCTTCGGTGGAGTTCCCTGTGGGGCCACGATCCTCGTGAGGGTGTGTCGACATGGGGCGGGGCCGCCGTGCGAACGCTGCCAGTGGGGCTTGCGGTGGAGCTCCCTATGGGGCCACGATCCTTGTGAGGGGTGTGCCGAAATAGCCCGGGGCCGCCATGCGAACGCTGCCACTGGGGTCTTCGGTGGAGCTCCCTATGGGGCCACGATCCTTGTGGGGTGTGTGCCGAAATGGCCCGGGGCCGCCATGCGAACGCTGCCACTGGGGCCCTCGGTGGAGCTCCCTATGGGGCCACGATCCTCGTGAGGGGTGCGCCGAATAGCCTGGGGCCGCCATGCGAACGCTACCATTGGGGCCTTCGGTGGAGCTCCCTATGGGGCCGCGGTCCTCGTGAGGGGTGTGCCGAAATGGGGCGGGGCCGACATGCGATCGCTGCCACTGGGGCCTTCGGTGGAGCTCCCTATGGGGCCACGATCCTCGTGAGGGTGTGCCGACATGGGGCGGGGCCGCCATGCGAACGCTGCCACTGGGGCCTTCGGTGGAGCTCCTTATGGGGCCACGATCCTCGTGAGGGGTGTGCCGAAATGGGGCGGGGCCGCCATGCGAACGCTGCCACTGGGGCCTTCGGTGGAGCTCCCTATGGGGCCGCGGTCCTCGTGAAGGGTGTGCCGACATGGGGCGGGGCCGCCATGCGAACGCTGCCACTGGGGCCTTCGGTGGAGCTCCCTATGGGGCCACGATCCTCGTGAGGGGTGTGCCGAAATGGGGCGGGCCGCCATGCGAACGCTGCCACTGGGGCCTTCGGTGGAGCTCCCTATGGGGCCACGATCCTCGTGAGGGGTGTGCCGAAATGGGGCGGGGCCGCCATGCGAACGCAGCCACTGGAACCTTCACTGGAGCACCCTATGGGGCCACGAAACGCAGGGAGGATGGGGGAGGAGGGGGAGGAGGAGAGGAGAGGAAAAGGAGGAGGAGAAACGCCGGGCGACGTGTCTTCACGAGGACCCAGCACCACAGGCTGGTTGGGAAAAAAACAAAGCATCAAACATCCGCTGAACATGTGTTCTCCAAATAAGCTTGCCGTGTATGAATTCTAATTCAAACCCTAGTAATTTGTCCGTTGCCCCCGTAATTGCTATGCCCCCTCCCCTACTTCCTATGGCTACGCGTATGGATTCCTGTGAATCGTTTGCCCTTGCTTGCTCTTGCGTGCTCTTGCTTGCTTGCTCTTGCGTGCTTGCTATCGCTTGCTTGCTCTTGCTTGCCTTTGCTTGCGCATGACCGCTGGCTCTTGGTTGCTTGTTATTGTTCGCTTGCTCTTGCTTGCTTCCGCTTGCTTGCTTGCGCTTGCATGATTTTGCTCCTCCCGTCCTCCTCCCGTCCTCTTCTCGTCCTCCTCCCATCCTCCTCTCGTCCTCCTCCTGTCCTCCTATCTATTTGGAGTCAACGCTGGCTGATCTTTCCTTCGTATGCCAGGTTCGTACCGCCTCGACGCGAAGGGCGGCGCCGGCGTGGGCGTTCAAGTCTGAAACGTCGTCTCTGGGGCTTGTTCTGGGCAGGACAGCCTGCGCTACGAATCATGTTCGAATGTCGGGATCGGCAGCCTCTGGGGATCTCCGTGGGTGGGGATCCTTCAAGATTGGATGGTTCACGCGTTGTTTTGCCGACGATCCCCGAGGGAAGTGAGAAGGGGCGGGCCTTTTCAGAAGACTCGGAAATCTTCTGACCTTCCGAGAAGCGTGGTAAGCCTGCCCCGAAGACGCAGAACATGCGTCAGGAGGCGCGAGGGCTTCTGAGAAGCCCCGCCGCCTTCTGAAAAGGCCTTCTCCTTCTCATTCCCCCCTCGCTCGCCGCCGAGGAATCCATTCGAAGATTGGGGTCAACAGCCTCTGGGGATCTCCGTGGGCGGAGGTCCTTCGAGACTGGATGCTTCACTCTAGAACTCCTAGGTGGGGGCGGAGAAGATAGGTCGGTGGATCGCGCCGCATCGCCGATGCATCACCGATGCGGCTCGATATGTCGACGTCGCCGATGCATCGCCCACGTCAACGATGCATCGCCGGTGCATCGCCGGTGCATCGCCGGTGCATCGCCGATGTATCGGCGATCTGGTGCGACCCCCTGGCCCCGTCTGCTCCGACCCCATCAAAGGGGCCTCCTATGCACGCGCTTTCACGTGCCAGGGCCCACGTCGACAGGGCGGGAGCGTGCTGCAACCCGCGAGGTGCTGTCTCCCCTGCCCCCTTCCTTCCCCCCAGCAGGGAAGACCAGGGCTTGCTGTGCCCGTAGTCCTGCCTGTCCCCGAGGACGGCTCGTCGCCAGCGAAGCAGGTCAGCAAGAGGATCACGTCGAAGCGGCCTGCGGTTCAGCGTCACCGCTGCTCCTCCGAGGAGCTCACGCTTGGGAACTCGCACTCGAGCCCGTCGGTGTCGACTCCGTCGCGGACACCAAGGTGCGTGCACAACCGGCTTCATGTCCGACGCCTCCCCCGTCTCTCCGATCCCGATCCCCCGCCCCTCGCCTCTCCCTATCTCGTCTTGCCGGGAGGGGAAGGAGGGAGGGAGGTAGAGACACTCTACCTTTCGCATCTTTTTCCCCTTTCTCACCTTTTCCCTAACGAACCCCCCCTCCCACCCTGGTCCTTGCCGGGTAGCAGGGGCAGGAAAGGTGTGCACGGCGACAGACATCGTCTCTTACAGCCGTTAGCAGCAGCAGCAGCAGCAGCAGCAGCAGCAGCAGCAGCAGCAGCAGCAGCAGCAGAGAGGGGGATATTGGGTACCTGAATTCCCTTGTACGCCATAGGCGTGGTTTGGGCCCGCAGCAGTGCACATCACGCTCTGCGTGGCGACGCGCGTCGGCACGCGGAGGGCGTGCGCGACGACGGCGGGCGTCGGCATGCCGAGGTTGCGATCGGCAAAGTCCGATTGTTCCCAACCGTCCTGTGGTGTTGGGTCCTCGTTTTGAAGAGACAGCTCCCCGCATTCCTTCCTTCCACTCTTCCTTCCATCCTCCCCTTCCTCCCTCCTCCCATCCCTGCCTCTGCCCTGCGCATGTCCTCGTCGTCGTCCTCATCATCATCGGCATCATCATCATCATCGCCATCATCATCATCATCATCATCATCATCTTCTTCGTCATCGTCATCGTCATCGCCATGTCATCGTCATCATCATCATCGCCACGTCATGAACACCACCGTTATCGTCACCATCATCGTCACCAATTTCGCCACACACCTTACACGTTTCGTGGCACCACAGGGAGCCCCATCGGAGGTTTCAGTGGCGGTGTTCGCATGTGTCTCCCCCACGCAGCACAGGGTTTCGCGGCCCCATAGGGAGGGCCACCTGAGGCCCTGGTGGCGGTGTTCGCATGCGTCTCCCCCGCCCAGCACAGCGCTTCGCTGGCCCCAAGGGAACTCCACCTAAGGCCGCAGTGGCCGTGTTCGCATGCGTATCGCCCACCCAGTACGGCGGTTCGTGGCCCCATCGGGATCCCCACCTAAGGCCCCAGTGGCGGTGTTCGCATGCGTCTCTCGCCCCAGCCACTGCTTTTCGTGGCCCCATAGGGAGCTCCATCTAAGGTCCCAGTGGCGGTGTTCGCGTGCGTCTCCCCCACCCAGTACAGCGTGGTGTTGGGTCGTCCCTTTGAAGAGACAGCGCCCCGCGTTCCTTCATTCCTTCCTTTTTTTCTCCCTCTCCCCCTTCCTTCCTCCTCCCATACCTGCCTCTGCCCTGCGCATGTCCTCGTCGTCATCCTCATCATCATCGGCATCATCATCATCGTCATCGCCACGTCATCGTCATCATCATCATCGCCACGTCATGAACACCACCGTTATCGTCACCATCATCGCCACCAATCTCGCCACACACCTTACACGTTTCGTGGCCCCATAGGGAACCCCATCCAGGGTCTCAATGGCGGTGTTCGCATGTGTCTCCCCCACGCAGCACAGGGTTTCGCGGCCCCATAGGGAGGGCCACCTGAGGCCCTGGTGGCGGTGTTCGCATGCGTCTCCCCCGCCCAGCACAGCGCTTCGCTGGCCCCAAGGGAACACCTGAGGCCGCAGTGGCCGTGTTCGCATGCGTATCGCCCACCCAGTACGGCGGTTCGTGGCCCCATCGGGATCCCCACCTAAGGCCCCAGTGGCGGTGTTCGCATGCGTCTCCCCCACCCAGCCACTGCTTTTCGTGGCCCCATAGGGAGCTCCACCTAAGGCCCCAATGGCGGTGTTCGCATGTGTCTCCCCCACCCAATACAGCGATTCGTGGCTCCGTGTGGACCTCCACCTGAGGCCCCAGTGGCGGTGTTCGCTTGCGTCTCCTCCATCCAGCACGTCGTTTCGCTGGCCCCATAGGGAGCTCGACCTAAGGCCGAAGGGGCGGTGTTCGCATGCATCTCCCCCGTTTCTTGGCCCCACAGGGCGTCCGCGGCAGGGTCGCTCCTATCGCAATGGACAATGGGCCTGCCTCTCTGGGAACGCCTTGTTTGGGTGGTGTTGGGTCCTCGCTTTGAAGAGACAGCGCTCCGTGTTCCTTCTCCTCCTTCCGATCCTCCTCCTCCTCCTCCTCCTCCTCCTCCTCCTCCTCCCAGCCTCTGCCCTCCGCATATCGTCGTCGTCATCATCCTCGTCAGCATCAACGACGTCATCATCACCATAATCGTCATCTTCATCAGCAGCGTCATCATCATCATCATCATCATCGTCATCATCATCATCTTCATCATCAGCATCACCATCATCATCATCATCATCATCATCATCATCATCATCATCATCAGCATCAGCATCATCATCATCATCATCATCATCATCATCATCATCATCATCATCATCATCGACACCATCATCATCAGCAACAGCCCCTTACACGTGTCTTGGCCGTATAGGGAGCTCCACCGAAGGCCCCAATGGCGCAGCCCGCCTGCGTCACGCACACCCATTTCGGCACACCTCTCACACGTTTCGTGGCCCCATGGGGAGCTTCACCGAAGGTTCCAGTGCCACCGCCCGCATGCATCACGCACACCCATATCGGCACACCCCTCACACGTTTCGTGGCCCCATAGGGAGCTCCACCGAAGGCCTCAGTGCCACCGCCCGCATGCGTCACGCACACCCATTTCGGCACACCCGTCACACGTTTCGTGGCCCATAGGGAGCTCCACCGAAGTTTTCAGTGCCACCGCCCGGATGCGTCACGCACACACACACACGCACACATTTCGGCACGCCCCTCACATGTGTCGTGGCCCCATAGGGGGCTCCACCGAAGGCCCCAGTGGCGCAGCCCGCATGCGTCACGCACACTAATTTCGGCACACCCCTCACACGCTTCGTGGCCCCATAGGGAGCAGCCCGCTTCGTGGCCCCATAGGAGCAGCCCATTTCGGCACACCCCTCACACGCTTCGTGGCTCCACCGGAAGCCTTAGTGGAGCAGCCTGCATGCGTCTCCCACACCCACTTCGGCATTTCCCGCTCCGACGACATGTTTAGCTCCACCGAAGGCCCCAGTGGCGACGTTCTGAATGTGGGGTTAGTTTTGTGCGTGGCTGCGATGTGTAGCCCAGCTGCTGCGCCTCGCCGACAGCGTTCCAGGGGCGCTCGAAGCATCGTCCAGAGTTCTCGCCAGAGGCCTGAGCTATTGGCGTTATTGCCCGGAAGTTGTCGAGGCCGTCGAAGTTCGGAGGAGGACGAAAGGAGAAGGTTGAGGAGGAACGGAGGATGAGGAGGAGGAGGAGGTGGAGGAGGTCGGAGGAGGGGGAGAGGGATGGGGGAGGAGGAGGAGGAGGAGGAGGAGGATGAGGAGGAGGAGGAGGAGGAGTAGCCTCCCCCCCTTCATCTGGTACGAAGATAACGATGGCGATGACGATGACGATGACGATGATGATGATGATGATGCTGACGACGATGATGATGATGATGATGATGATGTTGATGACGATGTTGATGATTCTGTGGAGGTTGTTCATGATGCTGACGATGACGATGACGATGACGGCACGACGATGACGATGATGAAGATGTTGAATTTGATGGTGATGATGTTGATGATGTTGATTTGGATTGCGACGATGATGATGATAATGCGCTGATGATGGCGATGCTGATTATGATGATGCTGATGATGATGATGATGATGATGATGTCGAGGTTGATGTCGACGATGATGATGACGATCATGCTGCTGCTGATTATGATGATGACGACGATGATGGCGATGCTGATGCTGATGATGACGACGACGATGCTGATGCTGCTGCTGATGATGCTGCTGCTGATGATGATGAAGATGATGATGCTGATGATGCTGATGATGACGATGCTGATGCTGCTGCTGATGCTGATGATGCTGATGATGACGATGATGATGATGCTGATGCTGATGCTGATGCTGATGATGGTGATGATGATGATGGTGATGGTGATGGTGATGGTGATGATGATGATGCTGATGATGATGATGATCATGATGATGATGATGATGACGATGATGGTGATGGTGATGGTGATAGTGATGCTGATGATGATGGGGCTGATGATGATGGGGCTGATGATGATGAGGATGACTGTGCTGATGATGCTGATGATGATTATGATGTTGATGCTGACGATGATGATGCTGATGTTGATGGTGATTACGATTGTGATGGTGATGGTGGTGGTAATGATGATGATGATACTGATGCTGATGATGATGCTGATTCTGATGATGCTGATGATGATGCTGCTGCTGATGATGATGATGATCATGATGATGATGACGATGATGTTGATGGTGATGGTGATAGTGATGCTGATGATGATGGGGCTGATGATGCTGATGATGATGCTGATGATGATGATGATGAGGATGACTGTGCTGTGCTGATGATGCTGATGATGGTTATGATGTTGATGCTGACGATGATGATGCTGATGATGATGGTGATTACGTTGGTGATGGTGATGGTGATGGTGGTGGTGATGATGATGCTGATGCTGATGATGATGCTGATTATGATGATGCTGATGATGATGCTGCTGCTGATGATGATGATGCTGATGATGATGCTGATGACGGTGATGATGCTGCTGCTGCTGCTGATGATGATGATGATGATGATGATGATGATGATGATGATGATGATGACGGTGATGATGATGCTGCTGATGATGATGATGATGGTCATGATGACGATGCTGATGGTGATGATGATGATGATGATGATGATGATGAGGAGGAGGAGGAGGAGGTGGATGAGAAGAAGAAGAAAAAGGAGGAGGAGGAGGAGGAGGAGGAGGAGGAGGAGGAGTAGGACAGGGACGCGGAGGATGAAGGGTCGGGCCACGAGGAGGAGGACGGAAATGCGGAGGATGAGGTCGGGCTTCTTCCAATATTCATCCAGCGACCAGCCCTCCACGCCCCGGTCAGAATTCAACTGTGGTGACGAAGACGCTCCAAGTAGAGGCAGGAGGAAAAAAGGAGAGCGAGAGAGAGAGAGAGAGTGACGCAGAGGTGGTTCGGCATTTGCTTCGGCTCGAGCGCGGGGCTCCAGCGCCAGCGCGGGACCCCCGCGTCCAACAGCTTTAAGGACCCGAAGCTCGGGGACCTCATGGCGTTCCTGCGCAAGCCGGCAGGTCCCGCCGGCCATCCGGGCCGCGTGGAACGCCATGCAGCTGAAACCCGATGATCGTAGACTCCGGGAGGAAAGGTTCCAGAACGGCCACATGATTGGGTCCTACTGGGACACCGTGGCGCGCTGGATGAACATGCGTGCCCAGCGGAACGGGGACGTCCTGAAGAAACCGTTCTTCCTCGTGCAGGCCGCCGACAGGTCTGCCCCGACGATGAGCACGAAGGACGCCGCCAATATTATGAAGTGTGCCAGCCGGAAGAACACGGGTGGCATGCGTGGGCATGCGGATCCGGCTTTTGGAGGCGCTGGACCTCAGGAGCGGCCTCGTCCAGGATGCCGAGGGGCAGATCGTGCACATTTTCGTGGGCCCTCGAGATCGGGACGACTTCGACAAGACTGAGAGAGACGACGAGAAGAGGATCTATCGGAAGCAATTGCCGTTGGGGTTCTGGGTGCACGTGAAGAAGTGCGCGAGCGCACCCTTCGTGGGCGACCTCGAGCGCCGCGACGACAGTCTCACGGGCGACCTCGCGGGCCCGTTGGTTCTCATCGAGCCTCGCGAGTCGGAGCCGTTCGCGTTTCGCGCCTCCGAGGTCACCCGAACGGTCGCCCCGTTCTCGCGCGGCAGGGCCATCGCCGCGGTGGCGTGCCGGGGGGGCGCGCCACTCGCGAAGGCGACGGGGCGAGGGAACAACGTTCTGGGGCAGTTTGCCGTCCAGACCTGCCGGGCGCGAGCAGTCCGCAGCCAGACCTATTCTCGGCCCCGTGGACTCGGCCCGGGCCGTCGGCTGTCCGGCGCGCTGCTCCTTCGGCCGACGTTGCCCAGGCGTGATTCTGGACTGCGGCCGCCGCGAGGTTGGGAACGGCAGGAAGGAGGACGACGACGGGTGGCTGGAGCTCTGCGCGCTGCCCCCGCGCTCCGCGCGCCGCAAGGACCTCCTGCTCGCGCGGCGCCGCGCGTCGAGTTCTCCCCGGCAGGGCCGCCGTAGGGTTTGCGGAGCCAGCTGGAGCGGTTTGCTGCGCGCACAAAGCAGCGCAGGAGGGAGGCGACGGCCCTCGCCAGGGAGCTGGGCTTCACCGAGTCACCGTGACGCGCGTCGCGGGAACTCCGTGCTGCGCTCTGCCCGGCGCCTCGCTCGCTGCGTCGTCGCTCTGCCCGGCGGCCAGAGCGTTGCCTGCTATCGGCTGGCCTGCTCTCTCTGCTCCTCGCGGCGGACGACCCGCCCGCGTCGCCGGGGCCCCATCCGAGGCGACCGGCGCGCGTCGCGGGGGCTCCGTGCGGCGCCGCGCCCGCGCGACGCACGCCCGCAGCCTCGGACGTGGGCGTGCGCGGGCAAAGAGGGGGAGAATGACGGGGAGGAAGCGGGCGCGAGCCTGGTGGGGGGCGCGGCGTGCCAATGCGGGCGTCGACATTTATGCGCGTAGCCGCGCGCGCGAATTCGTCCACACTCAGACTCGCTCGCGCTCGCGCCCACCCGCTCTCAATCTCTCGCTTGCAGACCTATCGCCCTCGCTCGCGTCGTGTGTCCCGCCGCGCATTTCGGCGCGCCTGTCGCGCGGTTCGCGGCCCCATAGGGAGCGCGGGCGAAAATGATATTCATATTTGCGGTATTCACAACAGCATATGGTTGGGCCCTTCGCCAAGCTACTTTTTCTCGCCAGTGGTGTAGCGTTTCGCTATCGGGCCCCGTCTCGAGATTGCCCCCCCCAACCGCGCGCGCGCGACCCCCGCGCCTAACTGGCACCGGCGCGATGTGACAGTGCGGCGCTGGGCGCGTGCAAAGGTTTTTTTTTTCTATGTTTTTTTCCGGGCTGTCCAAATTCGTTGCGAACTGAAAGCGAACGATGCTCTACTTCGATTTTTGCGTTCAGAGCGAGTTGAAAACAACATACGGCCGAACCCATAAACCTTCATCGGTTTCTGTTTTCGAGCTCCAGCACTCTTCAAGCACGCGTGCGTTTCGCCGATCCTAGCCTGCTCCAAGTCCACGACAAAAAGCGGCAGGGGCAACTGTCAGATTTGTTTTCCCCAAAAGCATTTGGCACGGGCATCGGGTCCTTTCAGGAGGGAAAAATACACAGATACACTTAATCGTCGTTTCCCCCAAAAAATGGGAACATATGGGAAGTGGGGGGAAGACCAAAACCCGGAAAATATTGGAACGTATGGGAAATCCTGTTATCCGAGTGTGTGTGTGTGTGTGTGTGTGTTTATTTGTGTGTCCCAGGGCCTTTTCATTCTCACCATCCCGGGTCCCTTCGGGCCCTCCAGGTCCCGGAAACGGCGACACGGGCACGAGACCCTCGCACAGGGGTGCAGGCGAGCACGGATTGCGGGAACCATGCCGAGGAACCATGGGGCTTTGGTGGAATGCTTCTTGTCGTGCCCTGCCAGGCCGGCCAGAGCGAGCAGCCGGAGCAACGCAGCGGAGCATCCGAGCGTCATGAGCTGGGTGCGCGACATCGGCAGGGACCACTCGTTCCGGTACATCCCTTTCGCCGCCTGGCTCAGATACAGACCGTTTTGCGGGAGCACTCCTTCCTCGGAGTCCGAGGCTGGGATTTATCCACATCCGCCTTCTGTTCGGCCGATGTTCCTGGACCTCGGGTCCACCGCCCCCGTGGGGGACGTCGGTTCCCTGGGCGGTGGGTGTGGCGCCAGGGGCCGCCAGCACACGGTCCGAGGTGGAACACCGGCCTGGGGTAAGGGTTCGGGAGCTCGTCAGGGGCGTCCAGGAGTGGTGTGACGACTACGGGTTCGTGGACATCACCGCTGGGGTCGTGAAGTCTTGCAATATCATGACCCTCCTGGTCAGACTCTTCTTTTAATCATTCGTATTGTTTTTCGTATTCTTATTAAAAGCATGATCATTACTATTATTTCTCTTTTTCTTCTTCTTCTTCCAATGCGTTCGCCCGGCCCTGGCCCCCCCTCGTCCGCGCACATCTCTTGGGCCATGATGCGCCAGTTTCCCTCTTCCTGGCCCCCTCTTCGGGACACCCTGGCTCCGGGGCCCACGGATTGAGACAGCCACGCCCGCGCCCTGTCACACGCCTGGTGGCCGCAAGGGGTCGGCAGATACGTCCCTGGCAAGGTTCAGATCGAGTCGTGGATCGAGTGGTATGCGTCCCTCGAGGAGCCTTCAAGATCTGGGATGCTGCACGCTGTTGTCGCAAGTTGGCAGTTCAACCTGCTGTGCCAGTTGGTCATCCTGCTTAACACTGGCTTCGTATTCGCCGATACCAACTACATGATAGAAAACATGCAAGAGCAAGGAATGCCAGCCTCGACAGCAATGGAGATATTCTTTTGTATCTTCTACACCGTGGAACTAGCTCTAAGATTCTTGGCTCAGGGCCGCTGGTTCTTCATAGGGAACGATGCCTCTTGGAACTGTTTCGACACCTGCTTGGTGCTCGTCACGTTCCTGGACATCATAGGAAGCTTGGCAGGCAATGTGGGCTACACGCGCGTCTTCCGCATTCTCAAAATCGTGAAGATTCTGCGGGTGGTGCGAGTCCTCCAGTTCTTCAACGAGCTGCGCTTGATGATAAACTGCGTCCTGGGGTCCATCGTGTCCCTCTTCTGGTGCATCGTGATGATCTACTTTGTCATGTTCCTCTTCGCGGTCTACTTCACGCAGGAGGTCACGCGGCACATGCAGGACAAGGGCCCAGCGGATGTCGAGCTGAGCGACTTTCCCGACATCGAGGTTTTCTTTGATAGTGTGCAGACCACGACCTTGACATTGTTCATGGCCGTGACTGGGGGTGAGGATTGGAGGCTTCCTCCTCCTCCCCCTGCTCCGCCTCCTCCTCCTCCTCCTCCCTCAACCCCTGCCCCTCCTTCCTCACTCCCGCCCCCCGTCTTCTACATTATTCATGCCATCCTGTCCCCCCAGGCGCATATACGAGGTGCTTCAGCAGGTAGGAGAGATGGCATGTCTCGGCTTTCTGAGCTACATATTCATCTTCCTCTTTTCTGTTCTGAATGTAATCCAGCTGCCTGCGGCAAGTTCCGCCACTGTGCCAGCCATGCACTTTGGGTGGCGACTCTTCGAAGGGGCACGGTAGGCCGTCACGCGTGACAGCTCGCGTCCCAGGCATAGGAGAGTTGTGATGATGATGATGATGATGATGATGATGATGATGATGATGATGATGATGATGATGATGATGATGATGATGCTGATGATGATGATGATGATGATGATGATGATGATGATGATGATGATGATGATGGTGATGATGATGATGATTCTGATAATGAGGATGAGGACGACGATGATGAGCACAAAGACGAGAAGGAGAGGCGGAGGAGACGGAGGAGGAGGAGGAGGAGGAGGAGGAGGAGGAGGAGCATCAGGAGGAGCAGGAGCTCATTCGGATCGTCTTGGGGCTGTCTTAAGTTCTTGTGGGGCAGTCTTAGTGGTCCCGTGGGGCCGTCGTGGGTCACTCTTGAGCCCTTTCTGGGCCATCTTATGCCCTCTCGGGGCCCTCGTGGGCAGTCTCAGTGCCCTCCTGTCCGTACGGGGGCCGCCGTGGGGTTGTCGTGGCGCCGTCTTGGCGGCGTGCTGGGCCGCCGACTGGCCTCTTACGTCCGTCGTTGGTCCCTCTGGAGGCCCTCCTGGGCCGCCCAGAGGCCGTGTTGGAGGTCCCTTGGGTCACCTTCTGGGTCATCGTTCGGTCCGTCGGGGCAGTCTTGGGACCCTCTTGGGGGCCCCTCGGGTCGTTTTGGGGCCATCTTGGGAGATGCTTGGGCCGTTTTAAGCCGACGGAAGCCCGTAACGGCGAGAATGCGATCACCTCTTCAACGTCACAGGGGACACAAATGGTTATGGCTTCGTCGGGCCCTGTTGTTGGGGGCCCTCTTGTGGCCCCCTCGGGGGCACCCTGGGCGGTCTTGAGGCCATCTTGGGCTGCCTCGGGGTCGTCTTGGGCTGCCCTGGGGGCATGCTTGGCCGCCCTGGCCGCCTTGGTTGCTGGCCTGGGCCGTCTTGGAAGCTCGGGAGTGCGCAGCCATAGTTTTTTTCCCGAACCCTCCCTTGGCTGGGTCATCGTTTTGAGCAGAGCAGTGGGGTCTCCACCTCCTTCCCCTCGACCTCCGCCCTCCGCTCTCCTCTCTGCCCTCTCCTCTCGCACCACCCCTTTTGGGGGCTTGGAAGTGTGAATTGGTTGCCGCTTTCGAGGGCTGCGGGGGGGGGGTAGCGCAGTGGGGTCCCACGAAAATCCGAAACTGTACCTCGCCATCCCTCTTGGGGGCTGCGAAGTGTGAATCTGTCGCCACGTTCGAGGGCTGCTTTGGGGAGGGCCAGCACAGTTGGGCCCCAGGCAGATCCAAAGGGGACCTCGCCATCTTTCTTGGGGGTTACGAAGTGTGGAACTCTCGCCATTTGCCAGGGCTGTTTTTTGTGGTGAGGGGGTAGCACAGTGAGGTCCCACGCATATCCAAACGGGAACTCGCCATCCCTCTTGGGGGCTGCGAAGTTGGAAACTATCGCCACTTCGGGGGCTGCTGGGGGGGCGCACAGTGGGGTCCCACGAAATTCCAAGCGGGACCTCGCCATCCCTCTTGGGGCTGCGAAGTGCGAAATTGTCACTACTGTCGAGGGCTGCTGGGGGGGGGGCAGCACAGTGGGGCCCCAGGCAGATCAAAACGGTACCTCGCCGTCTCTCTTGGTGGCTGCGAAGCGTGAAACTGTTGCCATTTTCGAGGGCGGCCAGCGGAGTGAGGTCCCACGCAAATCCAAGCGGTACCTCGCCATCTCTGGCGGGGGTTGCGACGTGTGACATTGTCGCCCACTTCGAGGGCTGCTGGAGAGGGGAGGGGGAGACGCGGTGACGTCCCACGCAGACCCGAACGGGACTTCGCCGTATCCATTTCGGCGCAAGGCTCACGGCTCGAGGAGCCGAAGGGGGACAATTTCATTAACACAGCGACGCGCTACAGTACTTTTTACATTTCCCTCACGAGTCACATTCCTCTTAACGTCCCCCCAACATTTACCTTCCGTGCATTTTGATACCACCGATGTCTTCTGTCGGGGCTGGGGTCGACACACGTGCGCCAGGTACACCTGTCCAGCAACTGTTCAAATAGCACCGGATCCACAGTCCGTGGCAGGAGATGGATTGTCTCGACGACGCTGAGACCGCCAATGCGCTACAGCGACGATTTCAGGAGCAACTGGCCGATGCCGGGGTCAGCAGCAGCAGGAGCAACAAGTGGCCGATGACGGGGGACCTCCGAGGCCCCTTCGGGAAGTATTGCGGCTACCATCGACGACATTCGGAAGCTCATCAAAGACGAGCTCGGCCCTCTTTCAAGACATATCCGCAATCAAACAACATGGCGTATCGCAGCGAAACCTTGAATATGCGACTCGACAATTGTAAACGAAAGTCGACGATATTGGCACCGAAGTGGGTATGCTGAAAACCAAACTAGAGCAAGGTTCAGGGGATGCACAGATACGCACAGTTAGCGTGGAGATGGCGATTAACACGAACCGAGAACATCGAACAACAAGTAGCATTTGTGATGCCGATACGCCAAAATCGTATCCAGCATCGTCGTAAACTACAGTTGGAAGCCAACCACTGTCAAGGCATACGTGCTTCAACGGCTGGCATTGACAACCTCGGCAATTTCGACTCCATCGGGACGGCATGCGCGTACGTCCGAGAGCAACTATCCTCACCGCGAGGGCCAAATTCGAAAAACGTGCGCGCCAAAGGAGAATTTCGCGGCATGTTGTTCGCGGGGTTTGACAGCATGCTTGACGTGAGTACGACGGTCGCTCTATCACGCAGTAGTGGCTGCGAGCGTGGCATACAAGTTGTTCGGGCAACGCAGGACAGGACGCCTACCGACCGTGCAGCTCGTAGTTATTGCTGTGGGGCAAAGTTCAGGAGGGGGAGAAACACAGACGCAGTCAATCGTCGATTGCCAGGACAAGATGGGAAACTATGGACAGTTGGGGGCGAAACGAACACTTATATAAAAACGGGAAAGTCTGGAAGATGTTGGGTTTTGTGTGTGTGTGATTATTTGTGTGTCCCCGGGCCCCCATACATACATATTCATGCAACAACGAGCTGCCTACCCTATATACGATCATGGTTTCCGAAGAATCACCGTCTACAGTACATGTTGGTGGTGCGTTACCCTTTAACGGTAAAAGTACAGGACACGTCAGTTGAAAAGGTATGGGAACAAGTGTGGCGGTCTTGGGGGGATCTGCAGAACCACGGGAAACTCGCAGAACTGAGGACGAAACGCAATGTTATCCTTCATAGAGCAGCTCAGGGGACAAAGGGTGGAACAAACGGAAAGTCTAAAGGGTCAGCGCCCCTAATAGGGCATGCGACAGGCACTGGTCGCGCCCGCTGCTTCACGTATCTGCCTGTCCAGTTTCGGAGCCGATTGCGATGACGATAATTTCGCAGAAAACGACGTTGTTGTGATCACGGGTTTGGGCAAAGCTACCTTCGTGCAGCCAGCGGCGGAAGTCTCACTTTCATCTTCCCCTTTTCTGGGGGCATTCTGCTACCACCTGCGCGTGTATGTTTTCGAGATGCTCACCGTTGTGCTTAGTATGTCGATATGCTTTGTCCGTCTCCAGTACTTCAGTCTCCTCTTTCCGTGCCCCGAGCCGTTGAAGATCGTGTTCGGGAGTGCTTTCATCCAGACCAATGTTGTTCGTTTGTTTTCTTCTTCAGGAGATCTGTCGGGCTTGGGCAAACATGCCGCTCCCGACAACATCTCGGCGAGCAGCTTTTTCAGGCTGACTGGAAAGGAGGGGCTGGCGCGCCAGGAAAGGCAACGAACGAGGCTGCCGATGCAGACCCAGGTGCCGGCGACGATGTTCGCATGCATTTTCCCTCTCATCGAGCGCCGTGCCATGAAGACGGCACCGAAACTGGCAAAGGTACGGTTGGCTTGGGAATTCCCACGGCAAGCTCACCCCTATCGGATTGACTGGGTACCCCGAGCATTGGTTCTCCTTTCCATTCTGGAACGCATGCTATCGCCATGGACATTGATGGCGATGCCTGTTCATATACTCAGACATTGGGGGGGCCCTGCGCAGACGCAAGCGCAGCTCAATTTAGCCGCGTGGAAAGTCAGAAACCTTGCGGATACCAAGGTGCTGGAACCGGCGCGCATCATGGATGCGCGCATGCTTGCAATACACGAAAACAAGGAATAATGACGTATGTAGTTTCGTCGGGTACCCC